CAGGCAGGCCAGAGGCAGCCGTGCCGCCGCCCCGAGCTCCCCGTAGGTATGCTTTCCTTTCTTTCTTTTTGTTTTATTTTTTTCCTTTTTGATTCATTGTTGGCACTCACAATTTATTGTTTGTTGTATTGTGTAGATGGAGGTGAACAACAACGACATGGACTCGTTGGATGGGCGGCGCATTGGCCCATGATGGGCAGTTGGATGGGCGGCGCATTGGCCCATGATGTATGTTTGCTTTACTTTTCTATGTCCTATTTGATTCGAACAATTAGTGTAATTTGCTCAAACATTGTTGTAATAATTTGAATGATTATTGTTTTATTTGGTGTTGTAATAATAACTAGAATGATTATTGTTTTATGTCAAATGTGATGGAATTTGGGATATGTCATATGATGAAATGTGATGAAATGTGTGATATATGAAATGACAGTTTTAAAGGTTGGGGTTGAGGCAAAGACTAGAACCCTCAAATCCAACCCTTAAAGCAGTTTAAGGGTTGGGTTTCAGGGTTCTAGTCTTTGCCCCTGTTTTTCAATCCTTAAAAGTGTCAAAAAGTGGCACTTCTCAACCCTTAAAACTGCTATAAGGGTTTGAGGGTTTAGGGGTTCTACTAGTAATGCTCTTATAAGTTGGGGGAGAGAAGTTAGGGTACGTACTCCTTCATAACACAACAAATACCCAACTTCTTGTGAGTAGAAAGTGAAGGAACATGTATATGGATGATTCTTATCTTGGTGTGTTTCCATTGGTGCCAAGCTAATATATTCACACAATGCGGCGGTACAAGTTGCAAGATTAGGAGTAGGAGGCATCAGGGATCGCAAGACTACAACTCACATCCTTGCGGGGTCCACGGTACCCAGTAGATGTTGTGGTGCAGCTTCAACGCCTTTCAAGCTAACTGCTCGTCCTACAATTCGGCATCCTCTGGATCCACAGGGACACTATGCTCTTTGCCGTTAGTGGAAGTGTGGAACGAGTAGATGCTGTACGACGACTTCAAGATGCACCACCTTGTCGCGTCAAACCACTGGATGAACACGTCAAGCATTAATCACCAACCGGTATCTTCACGTTAGGCCTCTGGCACCACTTATTTACATTTTAGTAGCTAGTTTTACTTCCTGGACTGGTCTCTGATGTATGCTTTGGCTTCACTCTAGTAATGGAGCCCGGGAGAGCAGCGATGTTATTCTAAAAAAATATCTATCTAGGAGTGTTTGCCTACATATTTTCCAAAACTGGCACCTCCGAAACCCCATGATGTACTTACTAGCTACAACTCGTGGAGTGTGTGTTCAGTGCCATTTTATTTAATCACAAATACTAGTTCATGGAAAATGTGAAGAGCATGCCAGATTTGTGCTACTGCTGTAATGGTCTGCGATCTAATCTAGATGGTTGCGGTGTTTAACTTCTAAACCACAACGAGGATAATTGCCGTATTTTTGAGTTGCATAACTGCAAGGGCCAGCCTCTCTTTGGTTCAAAGGATTTCCATAGGAAATTTTGATGATTCGTTTCTTAGGAACTTTTTCTAATGTTTGTTTGGTTCGTAGAACCATGAACCATTATTACTAAATATACCTTCTCTTTAATGTGTAACCATGCCACCTTTAATATGCCGCCATGCATGTGAAAAATGCGTACTTCAAAATGCAACCATGCATGCTACTTATATTGAATATATTTATTACAACTATGTAGTTCTCCCCAATTAGTAATCCAACAATATATTCATATTCCATATGACCAAATCTCATTCAAATATATTACATGCCTACCTTCCTTACAACATCATACCGTCACTATATGTTAAGATACACAACTTATCCGCGGTAAGCATGTTTGTTTGTTCAATCTTGATCCGCTTGCATATGCATCAAGGTGGACCGGACCGCACCCAGCCGCTTCATAGTTCCTGTCCTGACCTGTAGCATCAAACCTCGGGCCAGACCGAGAGGACCGGCCACATCTAGGACATAGTGACCATGGCGTCGGCAATGATGGCAAGTCACAACTACGGGTCGTAATCTGAGGGGGAAACGAAGGGAAAAGATATGATGACTCACGGAGAACTCTATGGCGTGGTCGAGGAGTCTGGGGAAGAAGCGACGGCGAGGTAATCGACGACGAACGACGGTGCCCAGACTGGGAGTTGGAGGATGATGGTGATGGCTTGTTGGAGTATAATGTCCAACCCTCTCCCATAGATTGGTCTTTTGGTTGCTTGGAAAGAGCCTGCCTTTCCACATGGTATCCGAGTCAAGAGGTCTTGATTTCAAGACCCGGCTAACGCAATTAAATTGTAGCCTACTTTCGGTCCACGTTTAGGTCGGAGAGAGCCACACGTGAGGGAGAGTGTTGATGTATAAATGTATTGCCTAGTCTCTTCCATCAGCTCGGTCTGATGGGTGAACTGGTGAGGTGCATATAAGCTTGTAATCAAGAGGTTCATGGTTCAAAACCCAATAAATGCAATGATTAATTGTGGCATGTCTCCGGTTCCGCTCCCCACGTCATAGACTCCAAAGGAGCACATGAGGGGGGTGTTGGAGTATAATGTCCATGTTGGGGAACATTGCATGGGAAACAAAAAATTTCCTACGCACACCCAAGATCCAATCTAGGAGATGAACATCTACGAGAGGAGAGATTGCATCTACATACCATTGTAGATCGCTAAACGGAAGCATTAATAAACGCGGTTGATGTAGTGGAACGTCTTCGCGATCCAATCACGATCCGTCCCGCGAACTCCGATCCAAGTGCCGAACTGATGGCACCTCCGCGTTCAACACACGCACGACTTGTTGACGCCTTCACCTCCTCGATCCAGCGAGCGATGGTGAAGTAGTAGCTCGGGTCCTCCGGCAGCACGACGACGTGGTGGCGGCGGTGGTGGAGAAATCTCAACAGAGCTTCACTAAGCACTACAGAGAAGAAGATAGCTATGAGGGAGAGGAGGAGCAGCCCTGTGGCACGGATAGATCTGTATGGGTGTGGCACCCCTAGATCCAATCTAGGACTGGCCGCCAAGAAAGGGGAAAAACCCTACATGGGTTTGGGCGCCTCCCCCCCTAGGTGCCTTGGCCCCCAAGGCAAGTGGAGGAAACCCTAGGAAGCGCCCCACCTCCTCAAGCAACATGTAAAAAGGGGCTTGGGGCGCACAACCCCTTAGTGGGCTAGTGTGCTCCCTCCCCTTTGGCCCATGAGGCCCCCAACACTTGTCGGGGCCTCACGAAACCCCTTTCGGTCATGCTGGTCATCACCCGGTACCCCCGGAACACTTCCGGACTCCAATACCCTTCGTCCAATATATCAATCTTCACCTCCGGACCCTTCTGGAGTTCCTCTCCATGTCCGGGATCTCATCCGGAACTCCGAATAACCTTCAGTAACCACCATAATGA